CTCTTCACAAGTCCCATGTCTTGCTCAAGCTTTTCCAAAACTCTCTATGCCATCACCTTTCCTGCTCAGATATCTTCTCTATAAAAACCTGAGTCAAACAGTGCCTCATTGCTGACCATTCGGAATCAACCATGTCCTCAGTTGCCTGTTGCATTTTGTACACAGAGGTCCCTTAAAAAAAAGTAGTCAAAATTGTGATGATGATGATGATGATGATGATGACCAAGACGGCGACAGTTGGTGGCTTTGTACTTCCTCATTTTCCCAGTCTGTGGGGCACAATTTGTTGGGGCCAGGCTGTAAGGTGCAGGGCCAGCTAGTACCCTCAGCTAGACCTTGGAGGCAGACTGCGCACAGGTTGTGTAAGAAGATGGGAAGCGAACACTCTGCACTTCTCCAGGGTCAGTTCGTTCTGCAGTTACACATTTGCCCCTTTCTTTGAAGTGTCCTTTATCTCTAGAGATGAATGGAAACCAAAATACTTCCTGTAAGAAATGGAAAATTTATGGATCTTACCAGGCTTTTGAAAAATTGATGTGAAGCGGGTGAAGGAAAGTCAGAAGATGCATGTAGAAATTAATTTTTCATTTGTTCTCTAGGAAGGGAGCTATCTTAAATTGCCAACTGTGATATATGTTTTCCTTCATCCATAAATCAACCCTCCTTGGGAATGCTGGATCCATATATTGATCTGCATGGACCACTGTCTCTTAAGTATTTCCACCATTAATCGTTGAGTAATTTCCAGGGGAAAGTTTTCTCAGGGAATTTGCTGGAACTCACTCTAAAGTTCATAGCAGACAGCCATGTTGGATGAGCAAGCCACAGAGAACCTGTGAAAATGAAATTCAGCGATTTGTCCCATTTCCCTTTAAGAGTGGGACATAAGGAACACCAGAGAAGCCATTTCCTATAGTTAGGTACCAACTATCAAACTGGGCAGTGTCCTATCATAAAGAAATGGGGCCATGGTTACCAGGCAACCATCATCCCACTCTGAGAATTCTGGGTAAAAGATGAGAGGTGCAAGTTGCAGAAAAGGTGGAGTTAAATCTTTTTGTCAGCAACAGGATCTCCCACCAAAATTATTTACATAATCAGGCTACTTGAAATTGCAGCCATTAAATATCACTTAGCTATGACTTGGTCATGATGGCTGTTAGCCATTCATACAATTGGTGTAATTTAGAGTCAGTCAGTGATTTTTCTCTTAACAAATAATCACAGCCAGTTGTTTTCCTCTAACACAGATCCGCTGTTGGGAGTTTTGGAGGCAGGAAACAGAAAGGGGTGGGAAAAGCTATTTGGCGAATGGGTACTAAGGAAGAATATATGGGTTGGCAATGCTTCAGACACACAAACACCCAAGAGAGCCCCATGCACTATAGTGGGCAGGCTCTCACTCAGGAAGATGAAGCCAAAGTACACACCTCCCTATAAATGTCACCAGAGGTAAGAGCCCAGTGAGGACTCTCTGACACAGCATATGTAAACAGAACTGGGTGGCACAACCCTAGCGTAGCCTGTAAAACACTGCAATGTGTCTATACCACCATAGCTGAAAGTACGTGGTACGAACATGTTGCAGAACTCTGAATTCTTTTCAGGACTTTGAAGAGTAGCATGGTGTAACTACATCAATAGTCTCCCATCTTACTGAGCCAAACTCACAGTGAAAAGTGTGTCTGTTAGACCTGTTTAGATTTCAGATTTACATACAAGAATTCATAGATTGACTGACAGCCCCCAAAGCCCCCTCCTGCCTCACTAGGCACCCACATCTCTCCACAAACCAAGAAGGAAAATATGTCACCTCTCCTGCCCTGAGGCCCGGGACACCATGCTGCGGCCATAGTGGAAGCTTTTCAGCCTTTAGTTGGTAAATTTCCAAAACTTAATAAAACAAAGCAGGAAGCATGAGGTGCTTGTCACATCCTGAAAAGACCCTGGGATGCTACGGGAAAGCCCCAGACTTGCCTCTGCTTGGTGCAAATAGGTCAGCTATCCTCTCTGAGCCTCGGGGTGATTATTCTCACACCTCATTGACTTGTAGGAGAATTAGCCTCCGGGGTTAAGGTGCTTTATATAGTATTATATAATATAGCATTATCTTTTTTTACTCTATTAGGAAAATGAAGTAGAATGACGTGTGGTAAAATACCCTGAAAAGTGCAAAAAAAAAAAAAAAGGAAAAGGAAAATGGGATCATTTTATTGGTGTGAACTTTCTTACAAAGAAGGTCTGGCTTCCCACAGCTGAGCTGGTGACCCATGCTGGACAGCCAGCTGCAGCCTATGTCTGTCTGTCACCCTCTGTCCCACTTCTCTTCCCATCCCTAGGCACAGTCCCTCCTGTGGCTGAAGTCTTTTGGTAATGAGGACAGATAAGGACAGTCCAGGAGTGCTACCTAAGCCCCACCTTGGACAGGGTACGCAGGAGGGGTGGCCAGCACTAGGCACCCACCCCCAAGACTCCTAACCAACATCTGTTCCTCCACCAGTCATGGTTCATAGAGTTCTGCAGCCCAGGACTCAGAGTCCCTGGGCTCAGCCACGGTCTCAGATACCACACCCCCTCCACCCTGGAAAAATCGTTTTCACTCTCAGAGCCCTGGGACCCACAACTGCACACCTAGAGTGACGATAACCACTCTACAGGTCATGGGGAGAGATCCACAGGCTGTAGATAAAACCTGTTGGGCAGGAGAATGCTCAGCTCCGTGGAGAAACTATGCATCGTTTCACGGGCGAGGAGAGCAGGGTTAGCTCAGATGCAGAAGGTTTTAAAGAGATGGGGCTGAGCTGCTGTTTTCTGGAAAACCCAGGCCCCTCTTTGAGCAGGCTGAGGAAAGCAGGCAAAAACATCAACACCCAAGTCCTCCTCCCTGAACCTGGACAGACCATGCAAACAGGTACTGTTACAAGTGTAAGAGGGATCCACAGCCCAGGGGGCAGCACACGAGTTCCCTGCGATGCTCTGGTTTGCCTTGGTTTTGTTTTTGGTTTTTCTTCACTTTAGTGGTTATGTTTGCTGCTGAGTCCTGGAGAGCTAACAGCATGGCATTTTACAGGAATGGTGTGTGTGTGTGTGTGTGTGTGTGTGTGTGTGTGTGTGTGTGTGTGTGTGTGCGTGCACGGTGGGGGTGGAGTGTCTAACTGCAAGCAGCCGAACCCAAAACAAATGTCTAAGTAGGATATTCCAGAGCAGTGCTCTCGTGCTGCAGGTCTAAGAGTGTGAACGGTAGACAATTACTCTCCGGGCTCTTCTGTAGAAAGACTTCTCACTGTGGCTGGCAAAGGCAGCAGACCGGGAGGGAATTGCTAAGGCTGCATGGTTGGCTACCTGTGTGCTCCAGGGTCTCCCTGCATGTTGTACATGCATGTTTCACTTTCTCCCTTTTCTACTAATTATCGAAACCAGGAGTCTGTTTTCAAGGACCTCATTGAAAAACCAAGACTTTCAAATTCACCCAAGATCTCAACGCAGAAATAAGTGTTCTAGTTGTTTTCTGCTCTTTCCATTTTTACTCCGTTTATATCCTGTGAACCTCACTCTTCTGCTAAACTGCAGCTTCCTCAAAGGTCTAAAGAAAAGGGCGCTGCCCTTAGAGAAGTGTTACTGTAAATTAGAGGCCACAGCTCTTGCAAATCAAAACCTCAATGAGATAGCACCTCCGTCTAGTAAGAAAGATTATTTTAAGAAAGACAGAAACTGACAAGTATGTGCAAGGTTATAGAGAGGAGAGACTGTTGGTAGGAATGTAAGTTAGTACAGCCATTGTGGAAATAGCAGGTTAGAACTGCCCTGTGATCCACCAATACCAGAGTGAACTAGCCAAAGGAAATGAAGTCAGTGTGTCCAAGAGGCATCTATCCACATGCTTACCACAGTTCTGTTCACAGTAAAGAATCAAAAGTGACCATCGGCTGCTGAATGGGTAAAGAAAATGGTGTGTGTGTATGTGTGTGTGTGTGTATCTGTGCATCTGTGTATGTGTCTGTGTGTGTCTATGTGTGTGTATGTCAGTGTGTTGTGTGTCTGTGCATCTGTATGTGTCTGTCTCTTTGTGTCTATGTGTGTGTGTGTGTGTATATATATCTGTGCATCTGTGTGTATATATCTGTGCATCTGTGTGTAGATATATCTGTGCATCTGTGTGTATATATATCTGTGCATCTGTGTGTGTCTGTGTGTGTATCTGTATTTGTGTGTATCTTGTGTGTATATGCCTGTGTGTATCTGTGTGTGTCTGTGTGTATCTATGTGTGCGTGTCTGTGTATGTTATATGTATGTCTGTGTGTGTCAGTGTGTGTGTCTGTGTGTGTCTATATATGTCTGTGTGAGTGTCAGTGTGTGTGTGTGTCTGTGTCTGTGTATAGGTCTGTGTGTGTGTGTCTGTGTCTGTGTATAGGTCTGTGTGTGTGTGTCTGTGTGTCAGTGACTATGTTTAAGTCTGTGTGTGTGTGTCTGTGTGTGTCTATGTATGTCTGTGTGAGTGTCAGTGTGTGTGTCTGTGTGTAGGTAGGTCTGTGTGTGTGTGTGTGTGTGTGTGTGTTGTAGTGAATATGATTCAGCCCACAGAAATGCTGTCATTGCAACAACAGGGGTAAAACTGAACAAATTTATCATATCTGTACTGAAAAGTCTCCTAGTCAATATTGAAAACTTTCTTCTTTTTGTCTTTTATTCTATGTAGAACATTTCCCAGAGAAATATACACACTTTGCAAGTATCAATTTAACAGCAACTTTGTGGCAAGGACAAAGATATCATGTTGTAGAACAAATAATATGAACACAAGACTTAAGATTATGTATGACAGCTCCCTAATTTAATCTATACCTACAACTAGGTTTAGGGGAGTCTCCTTAGTTTCCTAAGATTTGCTCCTGTTTTGGAATGTTGTTGTCACCGTTTTTAACATGGGACCTGAGACTTTAGAGAAGGCATATGGGCTTTTCTTGTGACAGTAAACTAATGATGTGTCTTGTTTCTGCAGACCCAGGGGGCGGGCTCCCCTCGCTCCTCCCCCAGCCACACCATCAGCAGGCCAATCCCCATGCCCATCCGGTCGGCATCTGCCTGCTCCACACCAACGCACACCCCTCAGGATTCCCTCACCGGGGTAGGGGGAGATGTGCAAGAGGCGTTTGCACAAAGTAAGTACTCTCTCCTTTCCCATGTTCTGCTTGTGCCTGCCAAACAATTCACCAAGACCCATTGAGCAGTGGACAATTGAGAGTACGTGTGGACACTCACAGGAGTGTCCAACCTTTTGGCTTCTCAGGGTCACATTGGTCATCTACAAAATTTACACCTGAAAAATTGCAGAGTCAAGTTACAAAGAAAACCTCACAATTTTTCAGTGAGTTTGTAGTTTGGGGTTAGGCTGTGTCCAAAGCCATCTGAGCTGCAAGTGTCCTACAGGTTATGGGTTGGACGGCTCTGCTAAGGTTCCCATACCTTGTGTCAGAGCATGGCCTGTGCAATTTAGAAAGCCACTTGGAGCTCTCCCTTGCTTTACCATTTGGTCTTCTTTGAGCTTCTGTTGGCCTGCCCCACTTTTTAGTAAATCTTGGAATCTCAAGGCTCAAGAACTTCTTTATAGTGTTCCATGAAGACATTATAACTTCAACCCATCCTGCTACTCTTACTTCATGGCATCATCAAAGTCAAGACAAAGATTAATAATCCCCAATTTGAGGTGAGGGAGGACAAGCCATCATTTTGCAGGTTTCACATGGAGATACTGTAAGAGTTGCACCTGGGTTTCTGTAGACAGAGCCACAGGTCTAAGGCTGTATGCTCAGTAGAAAAGAGCAGAGCTGACGACCACCCTTCTCCACAGAGGATCCCTGTCTCCCTTTCTTTTCCCACTGACAGATAAAAATTTGACAAAAACAGCAGAGGAGACAATGTATTTATTTTGTCTCGCAATTCCAGGTGGGGCAGTCAAGGCAACGGGAGCTTGAAGCAACTGGCCACACCCTGGCCACAGTCAGCAAGCAGGCAGTGAACTGACGTGTGCTGGTGTTGGGTCACTCTTTCCACTTTATACAGCCTAGGAGCCACATTCTAGGGAATGTCCCCAACCACTCTTAAGATGGGTCTTCCCAAATCAATTTTAAAAACCAAGATAACCCCTCACAAACATTCTAGGAGGCTAACTTAATCTAGACAATCCTTCACAGGCATGCCTAAAGGTCCATTTATGGGGTGACTCTAGATTTTGTCTAATTGAAAAGCAACATTAACCATCATAAGCACCCCCAAATCAAGTGATTATTCCTTCCTCTTCCTATCATCTTAAAAGTTTATAGATGTTCGCTGGGCGGTGGTGGCGCACGCCTTTAATCCCAGCACTCGGGAGGCAGAGGCAGGTGGATCTCTGTGAGTTCGAGACCAAGCCTGTTCTACCAAGCGAGTTCCAGGACAGGCTCCAAAACAATACAGAGAAACCCTGTCTCGAAAAACCAAAAAAAAAGTTTATAGATGTTAAGGAATCCCTCTCCTATAAGCCTTTCCAATCAGGCCCATTTCACTGCTAGAAGTGACCACCACTAATGCATAGGCTTGTTCCAGCATTTTTTCTTTGTATAAATAGCTGTGTTCATGTGAGTTTATAGTTTATAAACTCTTCGTCCTTCACTTAAATTAGACTGTGTGTTGCACCTGGGTCTGCAATTTGTCTTTTCTTTAAATTAGAAATATATTATGAATATTCTGCAGTCAATTGATGGCATAAGGAAGAAAAAGGTTTGACTGGCTATTTTTAATAAAAGAAAAACATAAACAAAGACAGGAATCAAATAACAGATTCCAATGAACCAACCAAGTTTTATAACCAGCTGTGCATAAAAAATATGGAGGTTTTCCTCCCAAACAAAAACAGATGAAGGGAATCAGCAGACAGAAATACAAATTGCCAACAAAGGAGAGTTCTGCAATGTCACTAGTGTTTGAAGAAATGCACATTTTAATCGGAATCAGTGTTTGACTAGCAGTATTTTAAAAACATTTTTTGACATCAGTCATGTCTAAGGATAGCAACCATGTATGGAAACAAACCCTCTCATCCATCATGTATGCGGATAAAATATCAACATATTTTAACGGGCAAAGCTAACAGACTGTTTTCTGCTGCGGTGGAAAATGGAGGCTCCAAATCAAGGCTCTTCCAAACATGAGTATCATGCAAGAGCTACCTATGTAATTCACAAAACGTGTTCCTTTTTAAAATCTTTAGAAGGGAAAGTGTCCTTCGTCTAAATCAGATTTTAAAGAACCCACAGTATGCCAAATCTGTGGTGCTTTATATTATGGTTAATGCTTTTACTTGGTCTCTTTGATTTTCTAATGTAAATATATGTATCGATTTATTCATTTGATGTTACTTTGTGAGAAATGACAATGGTATGTCACTTACAGGCAGCCCCTAATCCATGAAACACTCATGCTACTTAACTTTTTTTGTAAGTGGCATATTTGGATTCTTGAACCCTTTCTTCCAAAGATATGGGGGTGATTAATGCTTGGCTCCATCTCCACCACCCCCCCCCACTGCCCGGCCACCCTACAAATGCCCATTTAACCCTTAGTGTGCCTGATATGTAAAGAACACTCTTTTCTACCGTGGACTACCTACCAGTGTAAGTCCAGGTGAAGGTACCAGGCATTCATCCACCCGGTATCTTAAGAGCAGAAGCAAAAATTCTCACCCCTTTTCCGCCCTCTGGGAGCATTCAGAACACGGTGTCCCACTCAGTCCTGGAACGGAGATCTCTGGAAGCACCAGTAGGGGGCAGAGCGTTTGCTGCCTGAGGGCAGGCTCTGACGTGCTCAGCCACCAGGTAAAGGCTGAGCCCACAGCAGCTGCTTGAGAACTAAACTCCCCTGCAGTGTGGGTTGTGCTCAGGTTCACGCGGAGTGCTGAAGCTTGAACCAGCTCACCCTGCCTTACGGGTGCCGACCCTCTCACTCTCAAAAGCCCCAGCAGGAATAATGAAATCTACAAACCTCATCGTTCCCCCGGGTCTTTTTACCTCAGGGCCAGTGTGGCTTTGTTTTTCCTTTCGGGGAAGGAACCTAAGCTCCAGGTGTTGCTAAAGGTTTTCAGAGGACTTGATAGACAAGCCACATAAAACTGGTTGTGAAGGAAAGGCTGTAACACGTTTAAATTGCTGCTTCTTCGTTGAAGGTTCAAGAAGGAATTTAAGGAATGACTTGCTGGTAGCCGCAGATTCCATCACTAACACCATGTCCTCTCTTGTGAAAGAACTGAATTCAGGTGTGTTTTTATGGGGGAGGAGGTCCTGTCCCTTGTGGGTTTGCTGTGGGAGGATCTTTGTGCTTGGGCTCCCTCTTGGAGACCTGATCGTTGTCAAACACAAAAGGGGTTTTTTAGCATTTTAAAGGAATTTTCTGACTTACGTGTGTGCATGTATGTGTCTGCACATGTGTGTGTGGATATGTGTGCCTGTGCACACGCTTCGTCTATGTGGAGGCCAGACGAAGCCCGGAATCCCGGGAGCTTGGGTTGTAGACGGCTGTGAGTCTCCCGTGCTTGGAATGGAACCCGGTCTTCTACAACAGCAGGAAGTGCTCTTAACCACGGAGTCACCTCTCCAACCCCGAATAAAGAAAGAAAATGTTGAATACCAAACTGCTTTATGATCACTCATTTCAGTATCAACTTTCACTTTAGGGAAAAAAAAAAACTGGCTGATGTCTAACGCACTGACGTCACTACATGTGGAACCTGGGGACTTGTTTCTAGGCTTCCTGGGGAGCCTCGGCCTTTATTTCTGGGTCATTAGCTTCCTAAGAGGTCACTCTCTGTGTCTTCCTTTGCCCACTAGAGGTGGCGAGTGACGCAGAAAGCACTGTGGATTCTGAATTTGCAAGAACTCAGTTTGAAGGTCTGGTCCCATCACCCACCTCTGAAAAGGCTTTTCTAGCCCAAATCCACGCCCGAAAACCCGGGTACATTCATGGTGGAGCTACAAGTACCATGCACGGTGACATGTGAGTATCTTGTTCTTGGAAGCATTTTCTCAGTTGTGGAACAATTTGTAGGAGGCCTCTAGAAAGTTAAAAAACAAACAAACAAACAAAAAGGCACAGAAAGGGTGCAGTTCCACATTCCACCAGAAGAGGCAGAAGAGTGCTGCATCTAGTTTTGGTACTGCAGGCTCTTCCTTAACAATTTCCAAAGAGTATTCAGCAACTTGCTAAATCAATGAGTGCTTGATGAAAGCCTGGCTCCCCTGACGCAGACATACTCCAGTAAACTTCCTGTAAGTCAAAAACACATCTAGTACAGCTAAGCCGTAGTGTGTTGTGACCCAGCAATGCCGGTGGCACACTATGTGATGTCAATCAAGCATTAGCCTTCTGACCCATGTGACTGACAGAGGGCTGCAACTTATTGATGACGCAGAATCACCAGACAGTGTAGTTTGGTGCAGATACTAACTCAAAACTCAAAGTATGGCCTCTAGTGAATGCATATCACATCTGTATCGTGGCAAAATTGGCAACAGAACCCTAAGTCGCAAGCCGCTTGTAGTAAATAAGGGAGAGAGCATCCTCCCAGGCCACATATCCCACTTCAGAAGACAAGTCACCTTGTCTCCTGGATATATACTTAGGGGACAGTACTGGTGCTGGAATGGCATTGGAGAGAAGCCATTAAACACCTGGAACCTCTTTATAAAGGAACCCGGTTTGATTGACTCATCAAACACGTATAGAGCTGTCCATCAGAAACGGTTTGCAGAGTTTGTCACCACAAACAACTGGCGATTATTTTCCTCTATATGAATGAAAGTCGTAGATGGGCAAGGGACAACTCCCTAAGCACTGGTGGCCCTGAGTTCCTGAGGCTCAGGGCTTGGCTTCTAAATTCCAAAGCTCAAGGCTCTAACCCTTGAGAACTAAAGACACCACATTCTCAAATTTGGAGGTTTGTAGTCTGGGCTTTAGTATCAGTGCTCAGGGGCCGCAGTGACACTTGCTGACCCTGAAGTCAGACCCCTCAGATTTTTGATCAGTGGCAGCCCTCTCAAGTCTGTAGCCCTCATAGCATTGGTGTCTGCCATCAGCTCGTGACAGGGTCTCATCTTCAGCTTCTCCACTGTCTGTCATCCTCTCAAGATGCGTCACCATTTGTCCTACTCTGACTCACAGCCTTCTGCCCTTGGTCATTCTCTTTCCATGCCTCCTGCTGTTATAGCCTGGAGTTTTAAACACTGAATCAAGAGCCTCAGCTCCTGGTGGCTTCCTCCAATCCTTCAGTCACTCTTTATTATTGCTACCATTACAGGGCTGGGCTCTCAGGTAACCAACACAGCCCATCCTACCTGTGCCAGGACCATTAAGTAGGCAAAAGACCATTCAGGAGAAGCATTTATTGGGATAATAACCAAGAGAGATGCCTTCCAGATGACTCTGACAGGAAACACACACACACACACACACACACACACACGCACGCACGCACGCACACACGCACGCACACACGCACGTATGGATGGACATACAGATGTGCGTATGTTTCTCAACCCTTACTCATGAGCCAATCACAAACTTCAAATTGGAGCAAGGCTGACTGACGTTTTTCTGAGTCATGGGGCAGGTTGTCCCCTTCCCATCCCGAGCAGCCATTGCTGTCAGCTGAGCAGTTATCTGGAGTTGCAGAGTCCAGAGAACGGAGTCTTCCAAAGCCAATGGGAGCTGCCTAGAGCATGCGTGGCTGGAGCAAGGACTCTTAAGACGGGAACTGTGGCTCTCACAGCCCCCGTGGTTGCAGCAATCCTTGGCTTCTGGAGTGGTGTTCCTTCAGAGTGACAGCACAGAGTTCAAAACAGCCAGACTTCCAGAATTGCAGTCTGGCCACTTGCCATGGACGCTGCTTGGCTGCTAGCTTCCCACTCAAGACAGCCAGTGAGAGAAGGGTCTGTGGGCTGTGCTTCAGAGGGTCAAACAGCCAGTTCCCTACAGCTTTGCTCATCCATAGGGGGACAAACAAAGTAAAGACTGCTTACACTAAAGACTAGGAATTGACATTCCCAACAGTGTGTAAGAAAGCTTGATTCCTAAGCAAACACCCTTAGGAAGAGCTGGCCCCTCTCAGCCACCCCTTACGTGACTAGGTTTGCATTATTTGACCAAAGCCAGCAGCATCAGTGACATTCCCACTAGGCTTGCTGTGACCCTCCACCAACAGAGGAAACCAAGGCTGAGATACAAGGACAAATGAGGGGTCTGGCTGAAGAGCCCAGTGCAGGAAGGAACAGAGGAAGAAGGAAGTGGGGTCCCAGGAGCCAGAGTGCCAGAAATGTGGGCAAGCGTTGGAAGCATTAAAACCAAGACAGAGGGATATGCTTGACGTGGGCAGTACTTCTAACTAGTCTACAAAATAAACTGGCCGTCTTACAGGCCCAGTGATGAAACTAACCAGAAGTCCTTCTGGTGTTCTGGCTCTCGTTCTGAGTCATGTGTTAAAGGCCAGAAGTAACAGAGTTGTGAAGACCTGTTTTGGAAGCCAGCTGTGAAGCAGAGGCCTGTAAGAGCCGAACAAAATAGCTTACAACATCGTTTAAAATGATAGTGTGTGACTGGTTCTATTCTTAGCTAGTTTTCTTGTCCTTTCCTGTAACATCTAGAATTGCATGAGATGCTATTCCAACTGGTGAACTGACATATTTTTCTAGTAAATTCATATTTTTATTATTATGCATTTTGTAGTAGCTCTGTGACATACCTTTATCCCAGCCCTAAAACTCGAGACTGTGAAAAGCCTCCTCATTCCTGACCATTCTCCCTTGGTTGCCAAGGACCAGCACCAGCTTCCAGCAAATGATCTGCTCACTGAAGACAGAGACTTCATACAAGTCTCCCAGACTCTTGTAGGTTGGCCCTAAACCTCCAAAAATAATATGCCCATAGATAAGATAAACATGAACAATGACACTTAATGTCCATCCCCAAAACATCTCCTTAACTCATCTTTTCATTTTGGAAGGTGTTTTACTGTCAGCTCTGCCTAAAAAGTAAATAAGTAAATAGAAATTTTAAAATGCGCTGTTTTAACCCCAAGACTGTGGTTTGGTTTAGGTGGTGAACCTGTGTTCAGCCCTGTAAGTCCTTTACACATGGGAGAAATAGGTAGGAAAAGTCCCCAATACTGAATGATGTCATTCTTACTTGCTTATTTTATAATGAAATTGAACAATGCAAATGGAATTTTCAGATTCAGGACTAGTAAAAATTTGTAAGGTCAAGAACTATAGGTGTATATCCTAGTATCAAGTCACTGGTATTATAAGATTTATTGTACTATAAAGTGTGTCTACATATATGTGTACACATGCTAGAGTGTGTCTGTGCATGTTTATGTACGCACATGTGTGTGTCTGTGTGTCAGTGTGTCAGTGTGTGTGTCTGTGTCTGTGTGTGTGTGTCTGTGTGTGTGTGTTATGTGATATAGCACAAAGAGAGTTAAATCATGTGTGCATTTCCTCAATCTTTATTTCACTAGAGGGCCTACTTGCCTTTCAGAAAGGAAAATGGAAATCTCACGCTGTAAAACTATACATTACCTCTAAAGACAAATTTGCCTTGTTTAAGGTTGTAGAACATTTTAAGGGCTGTCGTTCCTGTATGCCCTATGAAAACATAAATGGCCAATGACTTCCTCACTAGGTTTGATTAAAATGAAAACGTTTTAATCAATATTTCTCCAAGCTTCAGGCTTTTCTTTCTTTTTTCTTTCTTTCTTCCTTCCTTTCTTTCTTTCTTGTTGTATTTTTTTTAGTCAAAAGAAGACATGAAAGTGAACTAAGGGCCTCAGGTAAAACACATGAAGGGAGAGAGCAAAACTCGGCACAGGAATTGCACCCACCCTGCTCTGTTAAGACTACTCCTTCCGGGAGAGGAAGATGAGAGCAACGTGTAAAGAGTTAAATAATAAAAACAAAAGACGACTCCCAAACACCACTCACTTTTTTCCCCCAGTGTCCCAGAAGACGGGGACTCCTATGTGCAACCTGAGGATGAGAACTATGAGAACGAGTCTGTGCGACAGCTGGAGACCGAGCTGCAGATGGAGGAGTACCTGAGGCAGAAGCTGCAGGACGAGGCCTACCAGGTACCTGAGACAGCCGCAACTGGGCCACACCCACGCACATGCACGCGCACGCACACACACATACACACGCGCATGCACACGCACACACACATGCACACACACGCACGCATGCACGCGCATACGCGCGCACACACACACAAGCATGCATATACACACACAACCCTCCACACTGGGCCTTCCCATTCCTTGAAAACACAGACTTTCTTCCCTCTTTCTTCCCTACTTTTCCAGAATATTCTGGTGGTACTCCTCAGCCCATGCATTTCTCGCAATGATGTTTTAAATGCCTCGTGTAGCTGTCTATTCTCCCAAATTCTGAACTGGGACGTGAAAGGGGCCTTTGTGACGTTGGCAGAATCATGGTGACAACCAACACAAACACCTCAGGGTTGTTAAAGGTCTTTTCTCCTAAGTTAAAATGGAGGGACCTGGGGAGATGATTCGGCGCTGGTAGGGCAAGTGTGAAGACTGGAGTTTGGGTTCCCAGAATCTGGTAGGCGTGTTGGCCCAGCCTAAAACACCAGCCATCAGAAGGTTTTAAAAGCAAGCTCCCTGGAGCAAGCAAGCTAGCCACACTAGAAGAATTGGTGAGTGCTGGCTTCCGTTAGACTTCAATGAATGAGGTGGAGAGCAAGAGAGGAAGACCCCAATGCCAGCCTTGTGCTACCATGTGCTTGCACCAACACATGCAACCGCAAACACACATACATGTATACCTGCATGCACACACACCAACACATGCAACCGCAAACACGCGTACATGTATACCTGCATGCACACACACCAACACATGCAACCGCAAACACGCATACATGTATACCTGCATGCACACACACCAACACATGCAACCGCAAACACGCATACATGTATACCTGCATGCACACACACCAACACATGCAAACATATGTAAAAACTGAAGCACACATATCAAATAAAGAGCTTAAAAATAGTGATAATTATATAAAGAACACTTGGCGCAAAAAAGAAATGAGTCAACACCAATCCACTTCCTCCCTTGAACTGTCTCTGACTTCCTCATCGCCTGCATCACAGCAAACATAAATGGGAAGGTGTCAGAACTTCCTGAAGAACAGTGAGGGACCTGTAAGCCCCGCTCAGCAAGATGCAGACAGGTAGACATGGAAAGAGGCTGTAGTATGCTAACCCATCTGAGAATTCTCAGAACGCAGCTCATACAACTAACAATAACATAATTGCTTACTCTTGCCAAAAGAAATGAATTTGCCCCTCAGGGATACTCCACTGCTGGCTTCTCCACAGGTGTGTGGTTGGGCTCTGGGGACTCGGGATGTTTTTCTGGTAGAGACCAGCTGGTCCCAGCCCCAGATGGTTATTGTTTTCCTATTAGACTTTTTGTCTAACGGCCGCACAAGCTTTCTCCACAGTCTTGGGTCACCAGTGGCCCTCTCTCACTCTCTCGGTGAAGGACAGAGAATCGGTGAGAGCCACCTGGGTCTGGCTTCTCTGCTGTGGCTAGAACGAGCCTTGAAATGTTCCCAAGAGGACGGTGACAGCAGAGAAACCAATGCCCAGGCTCACCTGAGCAAAGCATTGCTTGACCATGGCTTTACCCTTTCCAGCCTAGCAGCTGCCTTTCGGAGACAGTGAGAGCACAATAATAATAATAATAATACAATAATAATACTAGCAACAATAACGATGGGTAGAGCCACGCCCCTGTGCTGCGCAAACGTTCACCTCATTACAAAGCCGTGCTGAATGCTCGTTCCTTGTGACTTCTGTGGCCCATCCAATACAAAGAAACTAGCCTCCTGTGGAGCCGGATGGGAGTCTCTGGAAGCCTGCAGGGTGGTTTCCTATATGCGTCTCATGTAGGTCTGCACATGGAGGAGGGAAATGTGACTAGGTCTATTGGAGATGCCTGCCAAGCCCTGTTCTTCAAGCTCGTCTTCAGCTTCTGGGTTTTAGTGACAACCTTAACTGTAATTCAAAAAATTTTAGATGACTTTTCTCCAGTCTATAACACACATTAGATTCTTTTTTGTTTGTTTGTTATTATTTATTTATGTTATGTGCATTGGTGTTTTGTCTGTGTATATGTCTGTGTGAGGGTTCCTGACCCTCTACAACTGGAGTTGACAATCGTAAGTTCCGTGTGAGTGCTGGGAATTAAACCCTGGTCCTCTGGAGGAGTAGTCAGTGTTCTTAACCACTGAGCCATCTCTCCAGTCCCCCAAACATTAGATTCTTAATGTATTATTAGTTAACGTTACATGGGGGTACTACCAATGACAAGATCTAACTGGAGTTTTGCCATGCCCAGTAAATCTCTGGTTTCTCTCTCTCTCCTTGCTGCTCTGTGCTTGACGATCTCAAGGAAAAGTGCAGGGGAGGGGCCCTGTGCTCTCACTCAAATGCGAGCCCTGGGATGTGGTGGAGTGGTTTTCTCCAAAGGCTGTGTAAGCTGAAGGTGACGGGATGGATGGAACGCCCGCCCCTGTCGGTCTCTGGACTCTCTCCCTCTCTGTGTGTCTCTGTGCATGGCTTCCAGCCAAATAATTCACCAGCTTGACTGCCTCACTGACTTGACATGTCACCTTTCTTGTTTGTGTCCTTTGTCACCCACAGGTCAGCTTGCAAGGTTGAATGCAATATCCTTTTCTCACTCTCCTCTCAAGTAAGTATCCCGTTGTTTGGGAGGAAGCATGGACACTGTGGGCTGAGCTCACAATCACTCTCTGTGTGATGCGGTATCCGCCTTCCCTGCTGCTATCAGAGTCATAACTCCCACCACAGAATGCATTACAGTCCTGTGGAACCCCCCAGACACCCCGGAGTAGACTTTTTACTTGTTGCTTAGGGCAGCCGTCACAGAAAGGTTCATGGCACCCGAGGTGCACCAGACCCTCTGTGGCCACATCAGCAGTGGCATCAGAGAAGGAAAAGTCCAAGCTACTTCAGCATGTCTGGATTTCAGCTCCTTGGTCCCCAAAGAACGAATGTGTGCACTGTCACAGGGACAACACAACCAAAGGGGGGATCTGGCTGCCCTGTGTTTTGAGGGTGACTAATACAAATCCACCGAGGAGTTCAGTGTGATAAAAGTTAACTCAAGGTGTCCTTTGGGTTATTTCCTCCCACTCTAAAGATTTACTTAATAATGGGCCAAATTCTCAAGTCACGTTTTTCTTTATCATTGAAATACTGATACCAGACTGTCAAAATCACTTGGGTATCATGATCTAAGTCTTGGGCTGTGCATTTTATTGGAACCATTTTGAAACGCAAATGTCACTGAAACTTATCATAATTTGGACAAACTTTTAAGCCTGTATGAGTTTCACTTCCCTCTACATGCCATGGTATTATTATACCTGTCTCATACAGAGGAGTGGGCATGTAGGGTATATAAAGATCTTGACACACTATAATTAGTTGTGGGCATGCGCATGTATGCATACCTCCACACACTTCAGATCCCATGCAGTACTAGGGAGCAGCTACAGTCCTCACAGAAGTGTAGTGAAGCCACGGGGCTCAGAATGACTTTGTTGTTTCAACTTTTGTAAACAAGCCAGGACTCAGCTACCTGCAATAACAGTGGGACCCACTGTCCCTTAAGTCTAGGTGACTTCTCTAGCTCTAGCTAATGGCTATTTGATGGTCCCTCATCAAAGCCTGAGTCCATGCACTTCCTACAGCAATCAGACTGGCCTGGTCAATGGACTTGTGTCTAGTGTAGTTAAGTAATCCTTCCCAACCTCGGACTCATATGAGCCTACAGTGTAGCTGATAATGCACTCTGGGAACCCTAGTTGCTAATTTTAGGAATGAACTTACTTCTTCAGCAACATTTCAAGTAGTAATAATCGCACACTAGGTCTAACACTGCAAGCATCCTAGCTCTACCTCCAGGTTCGCAACAAGTGAATAAGATTTCATAGATGAGATAGACCTTCTGAGCTGTAAGAAGGGATCTTACAAGCATGCTCTGCTCACCACCCCCTTGCATTTGAAAATGGAACACCACACCCTCTTCTAATTCACAATGACTACAGTGAAAAACATTCCCAGGAGCTGTTGCTGAAAATATTCATTCCAGTTACAGCAAGTCTAGTCCCAAAGGAAAAGGCTTTTTCTTAACACCATTTTCTTTCTCTTAGCTCCAACAATTTAATCATTTTTTTCTGTGTATTATTTAAACATTGGGGGCTTGTTCTTAGAAAACCATTCATTTTTTAAGGTAATAAAATGGCCTTGTTATAAACCCACATAAAAATTGTATCATGTTCTTTTTGTACCTAAAAGCCTATTTTTTTTTTCATTTTTTACTTTCTTGGAAATTTGGTAGTGAGAAATGAAACAGGTGTGACCTCTGTCATTTACTGCAGAGATACTCTGATTAGATGATATTCTGCAGGAGCCTAAACACAGCCAGCCTGTTGCTAAATCAGCCGCAAAATGCACTTAAAATCTTACAAAGTACTACAAAAAAATTAGCAACATTTCAATTTATAACCCTTTTCCCCTACTACGATGTTCCTAATGAGGTCAATGTGATTGCAATTTTAGAACTATCTGTATGGTTAGTATGTTTTTGTTTAGACCTTCTGACTATATTACAATACCAGAATTATCCCAAAGTATATGCCTCTCATACCCAAGGGTCCTGAACCAACTTCGTTGGCTTGGCATCAGTCAGCCAGCTACCAAGGTAGAGTTCTTCATGAATAAGGGCAGAACATAGAGACTAAGAAGCAGGAAGACTCCCTGGGTTCAAATCAGGCCATGGGCCTGTGTATAAGCCATTAAGTGCCTGCTTTTAACTGTTCATGAACCTCAGGGGGACCCCAGGGGTCCCTTAAGAAGGAGGTTCAACCAAGAGAACTCCATAACATCTCTTCAGAAGCCACGTAGTGTCCAAGGCGTTAGTCCTGATTTTCATAGGAAGGGAATACGATGAGCGCGTGCATGTATGTGTATGTGAAGGGGCAGGGTGGGGGACTCTAAGCTGCTTAGCCCTAATTTAGAAACAATTTTCACCTGTTTAAAAAAATTACACACTCCTTATTCCCAGGCAAGCTATAGTCAGACAGATGATGAAAGTTACATGACATCCGGTGATGGAGAGAGCTGCACCTACAAAGAGGAGGAAGACAGCAGCGTGGCAGCAGCCTCACCCTCGCTCGGAGAGAGGAGCCACCACATCCTGCAGCTCCAACAAGCCCCTCCCCTAAAGATGTGTCTGATGCCTGTAGTGCAGCTAGTTTTCTGTTCTAAGATTTGTAGTTCATAGGTGTGTGTTTTAGAAGGGGGGTGGGGGGACCAGACTCCTGTTCCTAGACAATTTATCAACTCCATCTCCTGAAACACGGCTCATCCCAGGTTCAAAGCAAACATCCACAGGTTGAGAGTCCGCTGCTGTTGCACAGGACAGTAGTTATTAACGAGCCCTTTAAACGTTTGCACACAATGTTGAACCCGTTCAGTTTACAAAGACAATGTCAACACTGTTTGTAGCTAGAAGTTTCATTTCTGGATTCTTTGAGATTTTAACAAAGATAGTTTTATTATATACTGTATATTTCCACACACACACACACACACACACACACACACACACACACACACACAGCAATTGAAGGGGGAAAACAGCAATCTGCAATAGGATTTATTCTCTGAGTGTCCAGACTCAGAACCCAGAAGCCAAGCAGGGTCCTTGGCCTGCCCATGTCTCCAAGTCCCTCTGAGAAATTACTTAAACCTATCACCCAGAATAACAGGTACTTGGGGGGGCTTATTTCCAACTTTTGGTTGTTTTCCTTCAAAGATACCCTAATGAGTCAGCCATAGAATTTAATGTAAATACTTTTTCCAAGTAGATATCATATTCAAAAAGAGAGAGGGAGAGACAGCATTCAAATGATATAGACTCTAGTTTTTAAAGTCAGCACAGATCTTCTTAAAAACTGTGAACTATGTTTTGGAATACTCGTTACTAACCCTGTTTATAAACCACAGGTGCCATAAGACCCCCCCCCAATGGACTAGTTATCTGCACTCCTCCAGATCTTGCTCTCCACGTTGTAACCATAGGAAGCATGTCTTACCCAGTACTGCCCGTTGACAGGTTCCCTCGTCGGGTAGTTCCGAGGCCTTCAGCTTTAAATGTATGGGCTTAAAGTGCGCTTGCAGACAGACCTTTGCTCCCTCGCTTCCCTTTCTGAATGTTGATTGCCTTACCTGGCCGCCTGTTGTTCTGCATGCAGCATTGTGTGGTCATGTGAGAGGAGACAGGCTCTTCTTCTGGGTGGATACTGGGGTCCCACACTCGGTTTGAAGCTGGCGTGCGGAAAGACTGTCAAAGACAAGAGGATAAAGCCTGCGGGCGGTCCTTCACGAGGAGACCTCAGAAGGCCCTCCCACTTAGTGATTCTGGAGAAAATGGAAAAGTAATTGGCTATTTCAAGATCTGTTGTACAAGGAAAAGAAAAAAGTTAGACACCGGGTGGCTGTCTTAAACTAGCAGCCTCTCTGGAATCCCTGGGTTTTTCTTCCAAAAGACAGAAGGTAACATCGTTGCAGAACAATGGTTCTTGGACTATGTCCCTCAGACCAGCAATGTGTCACCCAAAAGTCTTAGCCATGCAGTTTTCTGGGATCCAACACAGACCCACTGAATCCAAAATTCTTGGGCCTGGGCCTAGTAATCCATGTTTTAATCAGTCCTCCTAGTAGTTCTGATGCATAAAGTTGTAGCACAGGGCCTGGAAAAGGCCTTATCCGGGCTAGGCTGTAACTCAGTTGGTGGAGTGCTTGCCTAGCACACACACAGGCCTGGGTTCAAGCTTCCAGAGCTGTGTACACCTGGCATGGTGACACAAGCCTCTGATTCTAGAACTCAGGAGATGGAGGCTGGAAAATCAGGAGTTCAAGGCCATCCTCAGCTGCAGTGAGTTTGAGGCTAGTCTGGGCTACATGAAACCCTGTCTTGAAGGAGGAGGAAAAGTGTTCAGAATAAATGAGAAATGTTCTAAGTGGACCTCAGATTTAATTTGCTCACTGGGCTGGCAAATGTCTCCTCCCACGTCACACACATAGACGGTTTTGAGAGGCTAAGAACTCACGTTCCGACCCCACTGTCCAGAGAGAGCTATTGGATGGTTCTTGCCTCTGCATTTGGTCAGAAACCTTCTCCTTGTCTGCCCTTTAAACAAAAGCATTGCCTTGAGGACAGCTGAGGGCTTGACTTGCATCAGTAGAGGACCCCGAGCTGTCCCTGGGTGTTCTTAGTCTATTTCTCTAGAGAAAACCCGCCTCACACAATTCCCTGAGCACAGGCTAGCACCAAAGTTCCACAACCGCACAGTTCTCTGATTTCTCTGCACAAGTGGATTTTATTGCAGGTTTTGTTGGTGTGTCTTAATGTTCATCTCTCTTCCCCTGCCCATCCTCTGTGAAATCACGCCTCTCTCGATGGTGCAGGTGGCCATTGGTGCCTCATACTCAGTACTGAAAACCCCTACATCCCAGACACCTGCATTTCTGTCAGCTCCAATCAGAGCCACACAGGACATCAGAGCATTGGCCCCGCTGGTGGCCCTCAGCCACTGGCTGAACTGAGCTGACCCATGTTGTCTCTCTGGTTTTCTACATCAAGCGTATGTCTAAGGCTGGAACTATTCTCCCGGAAACCTTTCCCTCTTGTCACGGCTCCCAGCACCAAGCAGCTCCGTCCCATGGTATCGACCCCATTGTACAAAGCCATTTCAGGAACTCTCTGGAAGCCACTACCAGTGAGCAATTTCTCACTAACCGGCCACCTTTTCTTTCTCTTAGCTCCGCGACAGCCCTGAGACCAGATTCAAGCACCCCTGTCCTGTAGCCGAGACAAAATGGCGTGTGTTGTTCTGGGGTTTTGTGATTGTCGGTGGGTTCCTTTCCTTGGCTTTCCAAGTTTACTTTTGGGGCCTGTTCTAAATGCAAACCCAGCAGGTTTTCGTCTGCCCTGTCCATTTTATTCAACTATATCTGGCGGGGGCTGTTCTTTCTTATCCCACAACGAATTGCATATGCATGTCCATCAGAGCTGGTGGTCTATGAGTGAGCACTGGTCTAACACCACCAAGCCCTCCCCCACAGCACTGTGGTCGGGAGGTGGGTGAAATCTACTGTATAGGATTCAGGAATTGGTTGTGGTTTGTCGGGATGGAAGTTGGGGTAAGTTTGGTTGGTCAGAGGGAGACGTGTTGGAGATTTTGAAGATGGGTTATCGGATGATCTATAACAAGGCAGGGAAGGTTCATTTGTAAGTAGTAATGTGAACTGAATTGCATTAAGATTGTGGCCTTTGTGTGATATATACTATGTATTTTCTTATATGCATGAGCCAAACCGTTGCAATATAATTTGGCACTGGTGTCTGCTCTTATTTTGACCGTCTTCGTCCACCATTATTAGTTCTTGGCTGTTAAGTGTAGATAGATCTTGTAAATATGGCAACCTTTGGTTACTATGCTCACTTTGTTTCAATTCCACACAAGGAACCACACAAAAAAATAATAATAACTCCACTGTGTAAGACGGGGCATTTTTACTTTGAACCAAAAAAAGGAGAAAAAAAAAACAGAAGTATTCATTGAATTTTGAAGCTAATTAACACAAGACATTTAAATTGTGACTACTGTAATTTGACCCCATTGAAATAACCAATTCAGAAACACTAAAGAGTTCACAATATTCATTGGTATTGTAACAAAACTACTATAATATGTTGTTTTGTTTTGTTGATATTGCTGTCAAGTATTGTTTTGTGTGTGTGTGTGTGTGTGTGTGTGTGTGTGTGTGTGTGTGTGTATGTGTGTGTGTTGGAACCTCCTGGGGACATGTTATATTTTGAAGTGATTAAACTATTTAATTGTGCGTCTATATTTTGGAATGGAATTATTTCTTCATTAAAAATGTTTTTTAAAACACTATTACCTTGTGGTTTTCTTTATCCCTTGGTTTTAATGGACCTTTCTTATAGCTATATGGAATTTTCTTTTTTTTCTTTTTTGTCTGACAATTTTTAAATATTTTTATTTAAATTATAAACAAGCTTATTTTACATGTCAATCCCAGTTCCCTCTCCCTCCCCTTCTGCCCCCCACAGATTCCCTGTCCCATCCCCTTTCTGCTCCCCAGGGAAGATGAGGCCTTCCATGGGGGATCATCAAAGTCTGTCATATCATTTGGAGCAGGGCCTACACCCTCCCCTGTGTGTCTAGGCTGAGGGAGTATCTCTCTATGTGGAATGGGCTCCCAAAGCCCATTTGTGTACTAGGGATAAATACTGATCCACTACTAGAGGCCCCATAGACTTCCCAGACCTCCTAACTGACACCCGAGATCCAGGGGCCTGGTTCTGTCCTATGCTGGTTTCCAAGCTGTCAGTCTGGGGTCCATGAGCTCCTCCTTGTTCAGGTCAGCTGTTTCAGTGGGTTTCTCCATCCTGGTCTTGACCCCTTATCTCATCACTCTTCCCTCTCTATAACTGAATTCCAGGAGTTCAGTTCAGGGTTTAGCTGTGGATGTCTGCTTCTGGTTCCATCAGCTACTGCATGAAGGCTCTAGGATGGCATAAAGGTAGCCATCAATCTCATTGTCAGAGAAGGGCATTTAAGGTAGCCTCTCCACTATTGCTTAGATTATTAGTTGGGGTCATCCTTGTAGATCTCTGGACATTTCCCTAGTGCCAGATTTCTCTTTAAACCTATAATGGCTCCCTCTTTTATGGTATCTCTTTTCTTGCTCTCCTCTATTCTTCTCCCGACTCAATCTTCCTGCTCCCTCATGTCCTCCTCTCCCCTCCTCTTCTCCCCTTCTCTTTCTCCTAACTCCCTTTCCCCTCCCCCATGCTCCCAATTAGATCAGGAGAACTTGTCCCTTTCCCCTTCTCTGGGGGACCATGTATGTCTCTCTTAGGGACCTCCTTGTTTCCCAGATTCTTTGATGGTGTGGATTGTAGGCTGGTAATCCTTTTTTATACATCTAAAATTCATAGATGAGTGAGTACCTACCATGTTTGTCTTTTTGTGACTGGGTTACTTCACACAGGATGGTTTCTTCTAGTGCCATCCATTTGATTGTGAATTTCAAGATTCCATTGGGTTTTTTTCCTCTGAGTAGTACTCCATTGTGTAAATGTACCACATTTTCTCTATCCAGTCTTCAGTTGAGAGGCATCTAGGTTGCTTACAAGTTCTGGCTATTGCAAATAATGCTGTTATGAACATAGCTGAACAGATGTCCTTGTTGTATGAATGTGTATCTTTTAGTTATATGCCTAAGAGTGGAATTGCTGGATCTTGTGGTAGACTGATTCCCATTTTCCTGAGGAACTGCCATATTGATTTCCATAGTGGCTGTACAAGTTTGCATTCCCACCAGCAGTGGAGGACTGTTCCCCTTTCTCCACATCCTCTCCAGCATAAACTGTCTTTAGTGGCTTTGATTTTAGACATTCTGACAGGAGCAAGATGGCATTTCAGAGTTGTTTTGCTTTGCATTTCCCTGATGGCTAAGAATGGTGAGCACTTTCTTAAGTGTCTATCAGCCATTTTAGACTCCTCTATTAAGAATTCTCTATTTAGTTCTGTGCACCACTTTTTAATTGGATTATTCAGTGTTTTGGTGACTGGCTCCTTGAGTTCTTTGTATATTTTGGAAATCATCCCTCTGTCAGATGTGGGGTTAGTGAATATCTTTTCCCATTCTGTGTGTTGTCATTTCATCTTGTTGACTGTGTCTTTTGCCTTACAGAAGCTTCTCAGTTTCAGGAGGTCCCATTTATTAATTGTTGATCTCAGTGTCTATGCTACTTGTGTTATGTTTAGGAAGTGGTCTCCTGTACCAATTCATTCAAGGGTACCTCCTACTTTCTCTTCTAAGAGATTCGATGTGCCTGGATTTATGTTGAGGTCTTTGATCCATTTGGACTTACGTTTTGTGCATGGCAATAGATATGGACCTATCTGCAGTCTTCTGCATGCCAGCATCCAGTTATGCCAGCACAATTTGTTGAAGATACTTTCTATTTTGCATTGTATAATTTTAGCTTCTTTGTCAGGAATCTTCTTAAAGAAAGGAGACAGGTCAGTTCATGCCACATGGGACATGAATGACTGGTAGAATGTTGAACAACTAAAGCAAATTAGTTCTCCTATTTCCATTAAGAAAAACACAAAAAAAGTCAAAAATCAAAATGTAAGCTGTGGAGTTATGGATTATAGTCCTTTTTAAAATTTTAATTTATTTTCTTATCTTACATACCAACCACATTTCCACCCTCCAAGCCTCCTCCGGTTCCCTGCCTCGATGGAACCCATTCTTCATCCACTTCTCCCATGGGGAGTCAACAAAGCCTAGCACATTAAACTGAGGCAGGACCAAGCCCCTTCCCCCTGTATCAGGGCTGAGTGGGGCATCCCATCATTAAGGAGTGAGCTCCAAAAAGTCAACTCATGCAGCCCCCATCTTCCAGGTTTCCCACCCTCAAATAGACACACAACTGTCAACCACGTGCAGGGGGCCCAACTCGGTACCATGCAGGCTCCACAACTGTCATTCTAGAACTCATGATTCCCCACGAACTTGGTTCAGCTCTCTCTATAGATTTCCCCATCATGGTCTTGACCACTTCCCTTCTCTGTAGGACCATCCATACTTTCCTGCTAACCAGCTGTGAATTCAGGAATTCCCATGTCCCTTCAGCTTAGGTAATTCAACAGAACAATTCACAGAATCCATTGAAAAGATTGCATGAAAACTTAGCTATAGTTTTATTATAAAGACTACAGATCAGCAGCAGCTAAATGAAGAGTCATGAAGAGCAATTGGTGGGACAGACACAGGGTAATCATGTGCACTGCTTGGGAAATATGACCATGTCTCTGTCTTAACAAAAACATTGATTTGACATCAAGGAGTCCACCAGAGCCTTTGTGTCCAGAGATTTGGGGAGAGGTTTACATGACAAAGGCATAAGTGATTAAGC